CATCTTTCACCACTGTTCCTTGGATGTTCATTGTGTGGAAAAAAAAGGGTGTATGGTTATAAATTCGCTGATGGTACAGTATGGTAACACCTAGTCTGTGTCTACACATCTGTTGCAGGAGAAAAGGGAACCCCGCAGCAGGGTAAATGGGGTTCCTGTGTTTCCTCAGTGCCTTGAGATCAGTAATCAAGAATTGAAATTTTTCTTTTTCCCAAAGAAAAATTACTCAATGGGGTAAAAAGGAAGCATACAGTGTTGAAAATTTTGCATACTTAAGCATTTTTAAAATTGTGTCTAGTATCATATTAGTGTTCACTAATATCTCTTTGATCAAAAACAAAGACAAACTCACAGTGGTAGAAGTGATATTCTTCTAAAACTTTTTAATGTAAATGTAAGAAAACCACAAATATATTTAAGCCATTGTTCATATCATTTTGAAACAGTCTGTCTGAGACATGTTATTGTGTCATAAGCAGATATAAAAACACTTTTTGGGGCCAGCCCTGTGGCCCAGTGATTAAGTTCAGCACACTCCACTTCAGTGGCCCAGGTTCGGTTCCAGGGCATGGAACTACACACCATTCATCAGTGGCCACGTTGTGGTGGTGACCTACTTACAAAATACAGGGAGACTGGCACAGATGTTAGCTCAGAGACAATCTTCCTCAAGCAAAAAGAGGAAGATTGGCAATAGATGTTAGCTCAGGGCAAATCTTTCTCAGCAAAAAAACCAAAAACGCTTTTTGCTATTCTTTAAAAATCCAAATGCATCGTTTTAACTCATCAACTCATTGCTATTCAATAAATAAAACTGTCTTTATAAGTTTAGAGAAAAAGTATAATCAGAAGGAACCCAGCCTCTAAAATATTAAACAAACTATAAATTTCTATAAAATTAAAACAATTTAGTATAGTGTTAGAATAGATAAAGGTTAATGGAAAAGTATAAGCAGTCCAGTAATTGACCCAGATTAATGGGGTATTTGGAATATGATAAAGATGATAGCAAATGTTGGATTACTCAATAAATGATGTTGGGAAATTAACTATCAATTTGGGAAAACATTCTATTTGGTCCCTACCTCACACAAACTTAATTCCACCTAGAATTTTCAGAGATTTACATAGAGAAAAATAAGAAATATATACATTCTAGAAGATACTGAGAATGAATATCTTTATACTCTTGGGGCAGAAACGGCCTTTTTACATATTATATCAAAATTGAAGATGACATTAAAGTCTTCAGGGCAGCATAGACGTTACAGTAAACTGAGTCCCCGGTAGGGAGCACGAGCTGAAACACAGTCTCCAAGAAAGAAGAGAAACGTGATCTGCTAGCAGTTTGTGATAAAAAATGAAAGGTCAGTATGAAAACAATGGTGATAACTATTTCATGGAGGAAAAATTTAAGAACAAATATGAAACATCTAATCTGCTGAAATAAAGACCTGAGTTAACAGAACAAAAGAGCAGACAGAATTGATAAAAACCAGTAAAGTAACATGTCCAAGGTCACACAGCTAACTACTGGTGGAGCTGGACTTTGAATCCAGACCTGCCTCACGCCTAAGCCCATGCTCTTCTCATTCCCACGTATATGCCCACCAGCCATTAAAAAGAAATCTCTCTGCATGCAATGTGGTACGCTGGATTGGATCCTAGATCAGAAATGGGAAATTACTGGAAAAACTCGTGAAATTTTAATAAAATCTGGAGTTTAGTTAGTAGCAACACACCAATGTTAATCTCTTAGTTTTGATAATTATACTGTAGTTACGTAAGATCTTAACAGAAAACTGGTTAAAGAGTATGTAGGTATGCAACTTTTCTGTGAGTCTAAAATCATTCCAAAATAGAAAGTGTGTTAAAAAAAAAATGAAAGAAATCTCCCAAAAATGATGCCTTGGGTACTATCTTAAAACTTTTAAGCAAAGAGATTTATTGCATAAAGTCAAATTTTAAAAAGGGCATGATTTGCATTACAGATTTTGATTATGCAAGTTCATTGATGATTTTAAAAGTAAATACCTGCCTCAGTTATACAGCTTTTTTGAAAATACTTCTCATTTATCTTTTTCCATACTGCTTTTCCTTTCACGTGGATAAAAATATAGAATACCGTAAATTGTAGTGTTTAAAAACATAAGGGGATCCGGTTGTGATGAATTGCTTTCCATTTCTGCTATAGCTGTGACAAAAGTTCTGGACTTGTAACAGCAAGAATTGAATTTAGAGGATTGATAGAACTGTCTGATTTTAGTAGCTGCCAGATACTGAAAGAATCGGGACCTCAGAAATAAATGAATCCTAAGAGCAGAAAAGCTGAAGTATATAATTAAGTGGCAAACTCAGAGGGGTTTGTCTAGGTAAGGAAAGAGGGAAAAAATATTGAGAAAGAGGGAGAAAAATCAAAATAAAGGAAGTTAAAGAAAATCAGGGCTTATGGTGTCTCTAAGGAATTGAGATGTAATCAGTTATGGAATGGGGGTAAACAATAACTAATGTGAAAGCAGTAAATCAGATCTCATCACAGCCTCAAAGCCTTCCAATGGCTCTTGTCACTTAGAGCATGAGCTGGAGATCCCTAAGGACCTTGGTGACCTCCCCCTCGGGGGCCCCCCCCAACCCCCTGCCCCCCATCACTTCTCTGCCTTTATCTTCTACTATTCGCCCTTTCCCTCACTCCCCTCTGGTCATCCTGTCTCCAGTGCTGTTCCTCCTGTGCTCCAGGCCTTTGCATCGCTGATCCCCCTTCATGGAAGGCTCCTCCACCAGAGTTCATCATGGTTCACTCCTTCAGCTCCTTCAAGGTTTGCTCAAATACTAACTTTGCAGTGATTTACAACTATGAATGCTGTATTTGAAATAGTGATCCCCTAGAATCCCTGTCTCCCAGCCCCTGATCTCATTTTCTCATAGCTGGTTCCACCATTTAACACTCCAATTACATTGAATGTTTGTCTCCCCAGGGTGTGAGCTCTCAGATTTCTGCCTGTTTTTTTCACTGATGTTTCCCCAGTACCTAACAGTGCTGGGCACACAGGAGGTGCTCAACAAATACTTGTTAAATCAATCAAGACATAAATGTCATCTTTCATTGTCATTGTTAAAATAAGAGTAATAAAACAATGGTAACTTTTCCAAAGTTATTTTTTGAGCAATCAGAGTAATCTTTTTCATTTGTCTGTGTTTTCTGGGTATCTTCTACACTGAATAGTTACTTCTATAATTGTTGGAGGGTTTTTTTGCTGAGGAAGACTAGCCCTGAGCTAACTTCTGTGCCACTCTTCCTCTACCTTATATGTGGGTCACCGCCATAGCACGGCTGACAAAGTGATGTAGGTCATCAGCCGGGATCCGAACCCACAAACCTGGGTTGTCGAAGCATAGTGTGCCAAACTTAACCACTATGCCACTTGAATGTTTTAAAAGAGGATTTTGTTTTGTAAAGGACTAGAGAGTTATTATCTGAGATGATTTCAACTCAGGCTCATTCACTGTCAGAATCAGAAAGATACATTCTTTAGAGGCCTGTTCTTATGAGCTTAAATAATATTCAGTTGTTATGAGGAAAAGCTCCCCATCATAAAAACCGTACATAAACAAATGTTTAATAGCATGCTCCACTAAGCTAACGGAATCATAAAATTCCAACCTCCTCATTTTAAAGATGAAGAAACGTTGTCCGTTCTTTACATTCAATCAGAACACAGCAGATGACATGTAGAACAGGAGCTTGGCCCTCAGGAGAAGATTGAAACATCACAGAATGGTCTAGCCATAAACATTTTGCCATGCAGGAGAAGTCCGGATTGAAATTTTTCAGTTCACCATTTGACTAAACGTTCAGTTTCTCCAACTTATTTCCACTTCATTGCTCACAGATGCTTGTGAGCAATTGCTTCCTATTCTTTGAACATTCAAGATTCTCTCTGCATTAAGATCAGTAACAGAATAAATAATATGATCACCTCCCTAAGGATCTTATCTGTGGCTCAAGCTCCATGGTACCTTCCAGAACCCACTCAACATTCAGCCTCTTACTCCAGCCCTTTGCTTTCCCTGTTGACAGAAGTGCATGGCCAGCATATTTTACAAATTTCTTACTTTTTTTCAGTGGATGGATTGTCAATTAATTCTCATGAAATGAAATGGAAACAGCCTTCAGGGCCTGAAAATGTGTCACTTCTCTCTTTCAAAAAAGCTAATTCTTGTGCTGAAAAATTGCACATGTGCCATTGTTTTGTCATAAGTGGGGAAAAAATTCTGGTGTTATGTTTTTTCCTCTGAGGTGGCAGCAGCAGTTAATCCACACATGTACATTCCTCGGGTCCCCAGACAGTCATCTGTGATGTCAGAATGGCACCCGGGCAGAGACTTTGGTAAAGACAGTCTATAAAATGAAGTTGCTATGGACCAAAACAACCATATTGATTTTTAGTACAATTCAAAACACAAAGAAACAGCAGTTTTCTAAATGGCACCGACTGGAAAGGACAGGGAGAAAACTCCTTCCTTTGTGGCAAATAGTGGAGAGAAGGAAAAGGATAAAAGATGATTACATTAGCAAACATCTTAGTGTTTTTTCAGGCTGTTTGCTTTTTTAAGTTCGAAGAACTGAGAGGCTTGAATTATGTTGAACTTATCTGAATGCCTAAATTTGTTCATTTATGGACATTGTGCTCTCAGCTGGAAGCCAGACCATCCAGTAGGCCTTCAGGAAATAAAGCCTTATAACCCTTGGAATGTTTGAACATCCTCTTTAAAGCCCAAATAGTCATTTATTTTTCTCAATTAATCTCTCTCTCACTCTCTCTCTCAGCAAAGGGCAGAGCTGTCTAAACTGCATTACAAACACATTATTTACCAATACATCATTAAGTTTGCTGCAAGTAAATATTTTCCTTAGCTATTTTTAATGAGACAAAATGCCTTCCAAGCCAGAGACCTTTGGAAGGGAGGTTCAGAATCAAGAGAGAGCAGCCAGAACTTACCATGGCCCCCTCACTTCTTCTTTGGGCAACTTCTCGCTGTAGTCGGGCCACGGCCAACTTCTCCCTGGAGAAACAAAAGCACATGATCAGTTGGCCATTCTTCTCAGGGTAGAGGAACACTGGCCTGGCTTTGAAACATTCTTTTGAGGTCTCGAGAGGAACTCCTTCCCTGGTTTAGCTCACTTCCTCCACTAAACTTTCTATAAATATTTAAAGTGATGGTCATTACTGCATTGTTTTCACTGAGTGTCATGAAAGAGATTTTTTGTCTTGGATGTCATGATAGCTAAATGAATGCTGAATGTGGAGTAAAAGCTTCACTTTAAGTTCATTCACATATATCATCTGTAAATAAATTTTCTGTGGCTAAAACATTTCAGTTGCCCTTTCTGTATCAACTCTGCTCATACATATCTATAATTATTTTTCTTTCATTTCTCTATGCTGATATTGAATTTTTAAAGCAAAGAAAACATAACTCTGTATATTCTTGAAATAATAATAGAAAATCATTTGCAGGCTTGCTACATAACAGGCAACATGCTGGGCATTTCATCTGATCTTAAATGAGCCTGACAACAACTCTAAAATAGGTTTTATTATCCCCATTTATTGATGTGGAAACTGAGGCTCAGAGAGGCTAAGTATTAGACTGAGCCCCCAGCTGATATATAGTAGTATTAGGATCAAACTTGAGGTTTTCCTTACTTCAAAGCCTAAATAGAAATTTGCATATCATTTTTCAGGGTCTAGGAAAAATTCTGCATATCATTTTACAAGGTCTAGGAAATATGTAAAATTAAAAAGCAGGTTATTTATTTTAGTATTCTTTATTTTACAATGGAGTTCATTTTGCATCCTTTATAACTTTAATTCTAATTTCACTTAAAAAAATCTTATATTCACCAAAATTTTAAGAATACTTTTTAAAGTGATAGCTACCTGAATTTTGGACAGCTTTTCAATTATTCTTTAAAAAAGATGACAGATGAAGCAGGGGTAAGTGAACTCTTCCAGTAATCCTCGCATCTTCGTTTTAGCAAGGATTTTCCCTGAAATCTGTTATCAAGATGTGACACTATTTGAGAGATATTTCCTCCTTCAGCCTTCCCTCTACACAAGAGCAGCTATATACAAACAGTGAGGAAGCAGCTCGATTCCCAGATTCCCAGGCGAGTGACAGAATTCTCCTCTCCTAACTGACTGTTTGGGTCTTTGAAATGCCTCTGACTGCCAAGGAGGCATGTGCTTTAGTTTGGTTCCAGTTGAATAACTTTTTAGTAGGAGTAGATCTCTTTGAATAAATACCGAAAGGCAGATTAGAAGGAGGAAAATTAGAAGCAGGAGACAAGGGATACAAGTTTTGGGAAGCTGGAGCAGGACGTGTGTATGTGCCCAGCGAGAGAGGGCAACAAAATAAACAGGAAGAAATCACGAAGAGATGGAGTCACGCGCCTCTTTTTGAAGTAAGAAAGGCAGAGAATCTACATGTATTCTCTGTCCCAAGTCCTTATGAGCAGATGAAAGGAGCAAAGAATTGAAAAAGGAGAATATGACCAACTTCTAGCTTAAGAGGAAAATTAATACATGGCAAATACCCACGAGGACCAAAAAACAGAAGAACATATCCTATAGTCTATGATTAAGCAATTCTATTCTGATATAAACCTAACAGAAATGCACATATATATTCACCAAAAGACATGTACTAGAATATTCCTAGAAGGACTATTTGTAACAGCCTTAAACTGAAAACACACATACCCATTAACAATAGACTGGATGAACTTTAGCATAATTATACATTGAAATGGCATAAAGTACTGAGAAGGAATAATCTACACCTAATCACAGCAACATGTGGCATATCACAAACTGTTGAATGAAAGAAACAAACGCAGAAGAGCATATAGTTTATGATTCTATTTATATAAAGTTCAGAGACAGGCAAAACTCCTAATCAGTTCAATCAGGCAAGAAAAAGAAACAAAAGACACGAATATCAAAAAGGAAGAGGTAAAACTGTCTCTATTCACAGATGATATCATTTTCTAAATCGAAAATCCTAAGGTATTTACAAAACATCTATATAACTAATAAGTGAATTTAGCAAAATCATAGGATACAAGCCAATATAAAAAAAATGTGTTGTTACATACTAGCAAACAATTGGAAAATCAAATTTTACAAGTGTAAAATTTAAAAGTCAAAAATATAAAATACTTTGGGAATAAATTTAACAAAAGACTTGGCAGACTGCTACACTGAAAACTATAAAACACTGCTTCAAACAATTGAAGGTGACCTTATATATATATATATACATTGCTGATCCCTGGAAATGGTCTTAGGAGCACCCAGCATCCCAGGACCACACTTTGAGAACTTCACTCAGAAGATACAGAACTAGAAATGGAAGAATTTCTGGAAAATTTCCTGGACTCATCATTCCTAATTTCTGAATCTTTAGAGAAAGATTTAACATATATGCTAATAGCACGTTAAGTTTTTACAAGAGCAGTTTAGTATAAAGACAGACATTTGTGGAAACAGAGCAAGAGTCTATCTTGTCACTATCATCCTACTAAATGATATAAAAGTCCTGATAAGTGTAAGATTAGTAACATCACTATTTTATCATTAAAAGAGTTTGCCTACATAACACTGTTAGGAATTATCACATGGTATACATGCATGTCAAATTTTATAAAATTCAATCTGAAAGACAATTTTAATAGTTTTAGCCATTACATAGTTTTTAAGAAGAAAAACATTAATAAATCATGAAGTTTTGTGGTCTGCCCACACATTATATTTTAGGTATTCAATAAAGAAAGTGTGAATGAACAAACATGAAAGGGTCATCTTCAGAGTGGCAGCATGTTAGTCATTTCATTTGGTGAAACAGACTAAAATATATGGAAACTGAAAGCATCAACTTAGGCTTGACCTTCCACCGCATGAACAGAGGTGTGCCCAATTTCAAACAGTTACTTGGTAATGTGTGACACAAATGTGGACAATCTCAGAGTAGTCTGAAGATCCCCAACCCTAGCCCAGCAACTTAGTCATCCTCGTTACAAGTTGGAAAACTGCTAAGTCTAGCGATTTGGGAGCTACCCTGACTCCAAGTAGTTAGGTGGTGAAGGGACTGAATTCACAAGAACAGCAAATACAAGTGTCTCTTTGGGACCATGCTCTGTAACTGTTTTAAATCATTTATTCATGCAATGCAACATATACAACGTCATGGAGCAAAGCTCTCTAAATGTTCTAAATAACAGCCCAGGCTCTTCCACAGGGTGGGTGGGCAAGACCCATGCCAGCTAAGTCCCACTACATCAAGGGCACCCCAATTTTGAGCTAGTTTATGTACTAGGCTTCTGAATCCTATTTCCTTTGAAAAGAGAGTTTCAAGCTAAAAAACAAAAATTTTTTCTTGAGGTTCAATACTTTCTATCTCCCAAATCTTTCAAGTTTTTAGCATTCTACATGTGTGGATTTTATGTTAACAGGTCTTTTTTTTAGTAGGAATTGTACTTTCTTTGTGTATGAAAGAAGAGTTGTCATACTTTATTAAAATTAAGAAAGTGATGGAGTTGTTGAATGGGTGAAAGTACCTGTAATGAAATTCTCACAATTTCTAGATATTATCATTTCTGGGCTCAAATTATCAAGTTAATCAAAGTATTAAAAATAAATAGGTCTGTCTTTTTTACAGTAACCTCATTTGCCCTTTGGTTCAGTAGTCCGTTGGCAAACCATATCTTCAGACCCCCATGGTCCCAATATATGTGTGAAACCAACTGGGACCAGCATCTTTTTCATGCAAATTCAGGGTTCTTAGAAACAGCTTTGTGTAAAAAATAAAGAATCCTTGACTTGCATGCTAACTCAAGGCAAATTAAACACACTCACATACACATAGGCTTTTGCTCCTATTCTGAGACCTTAGCTCATCTGCTGGAAACTAACAATTGTGCTTTTTCAACGCATCACTGTTTTGTTTTGTGTTTGCAGCAAAGCCAGTAGCTCGTTATGAAGGGAGTATTGACTTTATATGACTGCAAAACAAATGCCCAGGGATATTTTATTGAGAGCTGTGGATCCTTATTTACAGAATAGGGATAAAAGACGGATATAAAGAATATACACACAATGAAACAAAAGAGACTACAACACTTACTTCTCTTTCTGTTAAATGCAAAGAGAAGTTTCCCCTCCAAGATGGATGAAATAGGGCTACTTTAATTAATTTTTTTACCCAAATGTCAAATTAGTCTTAGGTTTCTAAAGTCCTTTAAGGTAGCCCCAGACAATCTCAACTAAAGATAACAAACAACAACAAAATTATTTATATGAATCAGGGATCTTCAGAATACCACTGATATAACTACAATATAAGCCCATGGAAGATTGTCCTCAATGAAACCAACAGGATGTTGGCATTTGTAAAATCCAGAAAAGACCTGCAAGGTTTGCATGTTCAGAAAAACATTCCCCAAGGAGAAATCAGCTTGCAGAGGGGGAATATATTCAGTTTGTGATGTGTGGAGACCTTAAACTTGAGGGCACTGAAGAGCCATCTGTTGCGTGAGTGTCGAAGGCAAGCCTATCTGGAGACAAATCAATGTCCTCTTGCCACTCTAAAGGAAGCCCAGCACCCATCGGGGGGAATGAAACCACTGTGCAGACGCCTCTCCACCAGGCAGATGGTACCCCCTGAGGATGCCCTGAAGGAAGAGCAGCACAAGCCCTCTGTACAAGTGTGAGGAAAAATTTCTACTTATTGTAAGTCTCATTGCCTCCAAGTTCTCTATACAAACAGTACATCTGAAAGGCGCGGATCTAAAGGCATGTCAAACAAGCTGTCAAGATAGTAAATATTGTCTGTTTTGATGAAAGTGCCAGCTAATTTGAGCAATTTCTATTTGACTTTTCCAGAAAAATTAAGTATAACAAATTATAAAATAAAACATAATGAATTATAACAAAAATAAGTATAAAAATAATGTATAAGCAAGTTCATACATGCATTTACAAAGAAAAAAAATTTCTTAAGCA